CGCTTCCATTCCTTTATACAGTGATGCACGCACTACCTAATAAAGTCGGGGTATTTATAATTTTCACTTTATGTACTGAGAACTTAGCATCATTTTAACTTTAAAGAACTATTTTGTCTGCCCCTAAACACAGATACAGCTAGGAACAAAGATTTCTGCAACCAAAGTTTCATAATAAGTTTTTCATGGAATTTGGTACTCTTAGAATTTTAACAGTGTTCTTAACAATCTAAGTTTTTATGAAACAATAAATGTCTAGAATAGGGAATTAAAACTTTCATTTAGAAATTATTTCAAGTCATTGTTTACCAAAGAACACACACTTTGTTGGAATTCAATAGGCACTGAGGACTAAAAAAGTCTCATTTTTCTTTTGCCACTTAAGTATTTTATACAAGGAAATATTAATACATTCCAAATGCACCTATAATCATCATAACAAAAGGATAATTACAACAGTAGAAAAGGGACTTGGTTTTAATGAGATGAGTGAAACAATAGCGGATTAGAAAATAACACCACGTGCATGGAGCGCCGGCCACCCAGCCGGGCGCTTGCCTCCGCTCTCCAGGTCCAGGTGCAGGCTCCCCCTGAGGTCCAGCGTCCAAACTGATGCTTTTGTCTTTTCCCAGACAAGCGACGCACAGCTAGGATTTCTAACACAAAGGGAAGCCTGAAGCAGCTTTAAACTGAGTAGGAAATTCAACCAAGATGCGCTGCTGCCCCTTCTTTCCTCAGGAGACGGTTGGGGTGCTCGCGTGGCTCACAGGCGCCCTGTGCCTCCACTGCCTGTCAGGGACCACGCCTCTGCCCAGCACTGAGGGGGCTGCAGACAGGGGCAGAAGAGGCCCGCGAGGCCAGGGCGCTCCGTGCTGCGCCCTTTAGCCGCGCACACTGTCAGCAAGCAGGACCACTTAGTTCACAACTATGGCATTACTTGAGAGTTCTGCTGAGCAGCAAGCGAAAAAGATAATAGGTGTCACAGGAGTATTTTAGTGGGTTCTTTCTCCTCAGTCCGTCAAAGGCAGGAGACAAGTGACCAGAGAACAAACCTTGCACGTAGACAAGTCTTTAAATTTTAACAAGTTTTTTTATAAGGAGATACTACATACCAAGAGAAAATACAATCCAAATCCCAAACAATTTCAAACTCAAGCTGACTTTTTACTTGAATTAAGAAACAGTCATAGGACCAAAATTAACACTTTGCTCTAAAACACTCCTATGCTAACATCAGAAATTTCAGATCTTAATTTAAGGGCCAGCCAAATAGCTCAGTGGATTAAAGTGCCCGCAAACAGGCACAGGGCCTGGGGGTTCGATCCTTGGGCCTACCGTACCAGCCTGCCCCTGCGTGCTGAGACAGCAATTAAGACTGGGTGTGGCGGCACATGCCTGTAATCCCAGCTCTTGGGAGGCTGTGAACAGACGGATCACTAGGAGTCTGATCTAGTAGTGAGACCCTGAACACCCAGCAGACCCTTCCCTAAAATACAAAAATAAATAAATAAATAAATAAAAGAAAAGATCTTAGTTTAAAATTTTTTTTTCTTTTTTTTTTTTTTTTCAGTACCAGGGATTGAACTCAGGACCCCGAGCTTGCCAGGCAGGTTCAGCCAAAAAAATAAACACATTAAAAAAAAAATAAAAAAGACTGTATCAGACACAAAAGAAAATCAACAATCACCAAGACATGAGAAAAACTGCTGAGCTGGCATGTGGCAGTCAACGCATACCACGTTAAAGGCCAAAAGCCTCACTAACCCTTCCTATGAAGCAGATGTTGTATAAGTAACTCATTAATCTTCAAAGCAGTTCATGAAAGAGTTAGGTGTGGTGGCACATGCCTGAAATCCCAGCACTTGGGAGGCTGACGCAGGACGATCGCTGCAAGTTGCAGCCAGGCTGGGCCCGGCTACTTAACTGAGTTCAAGCCCAGCCTGCACTAATCAGGAAGATCCTGTCTCAAAAACAACAACAAGCAAAGCAGCTTAGTAAATACTCATTTCACAGAGGAGTAACTGAGACCCAAAGAAAATGACAATTATTCCTTCTTCTACTCTAATTTTCTAGTTTCCCTGTTGAGCATTTAGGCCAGACGTTTTATTTATTTATTTTTTATTTTATTTTATTTTATTTTTTGGTGGAACCAGGGATTGAACGCAGGCCCTTGCGCTTGCCAGGGAAGTGCTTATTCCACTGAGCCATCTCCCCAGCCCCTAGGCCAGATGTTTTAAAAAGGTATGTAAGTTCACTGTGAATATAGACTAAAATCTCATTTTTGTAGAAATTCAGAAAAATTACTCATGCATTCTTCCCTGGTGCAAGTGAAATGATGCATGCTAGTACGTAGCACAGAACTATACACAGAACAGCCCATGAGGCAGTTAGACACAGGAATCTGCTCTTGAAATGGCATGTTTGTCAACAGACCAAAGGTGTAGCCCTGAATGTTTCCCACGGAGGGAGAAAAGCATCTTCTTAAGATACTTAGAAGAGCAGTGAAATGTAAGCGGCAATAAATGCCCATACATGTACCATCATAAGAGTGGCCAGCGGTGAACTAGTGCTGGAGATACATTTGAGCTCTCCTGAGCAGCAGACAAGCCTGCTCCCCAGACGAAGTGAGTTGCATTTTCCTGTGCACTCTGCAAGTGCCTGGTACCCCGCCTTTGCATCACATCACCCTGGCATTACCTGCTCAAGCTGTAGAGCTTAACTAGCTCAGTGACCAAGTGTCTGACATGGGCAAGGCTCTGAGTTTGGTCCGCAGCACTGCTAAGCGGGGGTGGGGGTGGGGGGACGACAAAACTCTCCCGGCATTTCATGAAAATGAAGTGAACTGACGCACGGGAAGTCTTTGGAACAGTGCTCAGCATGCAGGAAACACTGTAACTGCCGACTAATTTCATCGCTATCTCTACCATCAGTGCAGCTTTCTTCCTGGAATCAGGTCCAAATACCGACTCTTTAGTTGCATTACTAAATGTCACAACACTTTAAGGCCAAACTCAATGCAGTCTCTTCAAGAATTGTTTTATTTATTTAGTTATTTTCGTATTTTAGGACAGGGTCTACAAGGTCTGCAGGGTCTCACTACATAGATTGGACTCGTAGTGATCCGCCTGCGTTCAGCCTCCCAGAGATGGGATTACAGGTGCACACCACCACACCCAGTCTAAGAATATTAATCCATCTCAAAAGATCAGGATTTCTCACTGCAGAAGGCACCAAACCTACAAAATGTAGCAGGAAGTCATGACCAAGAACTCAAAAGTTGTAACGGTTGGAAAAATTAAGGACAGGTTTATGGAAAATAATAATGCCACGAAAAAGGAAACACAAAGCACAGAACTACAGGGGCAGTAAAGTAACTGCCTCTACATGATGTTTACACAGGCCTAATAACATGCACATTTGCAATCAAACTAGCAAAAAGTCATGATATACTACACGGGAAAAATCAAACATAAAATCACCAGGTTAATTTTTAGTAGCAAAAACTAAAAGATGAATCATGAACTTGAAGTTAAGGAACGTTGCTTTAAAGCTTACAGCTAAACTATTTCAAAGTGATTATCTCTGAGGCATGGAATTAAAAAAAAAAAAAGAACTTTTTAGCAGTATTTAATTAAGTTAATTATTTATTTTTTAATGTATTTCATACAGGGTCCACAGGGTCTCACTACAGAGATTGGACTTGTAGTGAGTCTTCCTGTTAACGAGTCTCCCAAGCCCTGGGATTGCAGGCACATGCCGCCACGCCCAGCCTCAATCACCATCTCGGTGTGCCCTGGGGTGGGGCCAGCACAGCAGGCCAGGGAGTGAACCCTTGCTGCTGTGGCGGCCTAAGCAGGCACTTCGATCCGCTCCGCTATCTGGCTGGCCCTAGTAGTATTTAATTTTAAATATCTGAACATGTACTATATTGATCACACATTTAAAAGTAAAAGCAATTTTAATTTTAAAATTAAAAGCCTTTCACACCACAGAGAAACTATTTAGAAGGGTAGAAATAAATGAGAAATAGAGATAAAGAAATATTAAATAAGAAAGACAGGAAATTTAATGCAAGAGATTCAAGAACCAAACAATATTCCAGAAAGAAAGGAGAGAAGATTGTATTTTAAAATTCCAAGAAATGTCTCTAAAAGTGAAGAACATGAGTTTTAAGATTGATGAAGTCAAAAAAAAACAAACCAAATACATGCATATGGGGTACAGTAACATGAAATTTAAGAAACTGCTGGGAACATTACATGAAATTTAAGGAAAACACACAAAAAGAGTTCTTACAAGCTTCTAAGACATGAAAGAAGTTACATACAATGGGTCAGTAAAGAGAATGGGGCTGGGGAGATGGCTCAGTAGAATAAGTGCTTCCCTGGCAGGCGCAAGGGCCTGAGTTCAATCCCTGGTTCCAAAAAAAAAAAAAAAGTAAAGAGAATGGTCTCTGACTGTCATGGTAACACAAAAGTGAAGTAACAATAAAACTTTTTGTTCTTCAAAATTCTAAAAGAAACAGAATTTTATTCCAGGCTTAGTGAGGCAGAAGGATCACGATCAGTTTGAAGCCAACCTGCACAACACTGTGAGATCTTGTGTCAAAACCAAAATCAAACCAAAACTACAAAACATCCCCAAAACGGAATGTTATACTAAATCAACCTACTGAGAGGAGGGAATGTTTCATAACATACAAAGGCTTAAATATTTATTGCCATGCCCTCTTTCTTAAGAATCTCTTCGGCCTTAACTTTATTGTAAAACAAGAGCCAAAACAGGAAAGACAGGCCATCCCGGAAATGGGAAACACAAAGTGCACGCTGCAGGGCAAGCGCTCCCACGTGATGGTCTCCATTCCAGCCGCCAGGAAGGCGCCGAGGCATCTTGGGGGTGCAGCAGGTGCAGCGCTGCCTCTCCACGTGCCTTTGGTGCACAGAGCCACAGTTTTACAGCACTCCGCAAAAAGGAAAAATTCCAAGGGGTTTTACGCTTACCTGTAGCACAGCAGCAAACAAGAACACGACAACAAAGATCACTGTGAGCGAAGTGTGGCCGCTCTTCATCAGGTGAATGGTGTAGAGGAAAATCAGATGTCCAGGAATCACCAAAAGCAGGAGAACCTGGGCAGATTTATTATTTACCCCTGCAACAAAAAATGTGGAAGCCTTAAAAAAAAAGCCTATTTTGGCTCATAATACATCAGTGTTAAGATTTGAGGATTACTCTATCGTTGATCTATCCCACAAAGTTCAATTGCTAAAATAAGTTGCAATTATCCACAATTCACATAATTCTTTGAAATTCTCCCTATGTGGCACATGTCATTCAGTGAAAGGCGGGGGCCGGCGAGATAGCTCAGCAGTCTAAAGTGCCTGCTTAGGCAAGCTTAGGTAGCTGCAGGGGACTGCAGTTCAATCCCCGGCACCATAAGCCACAGCAGCCCCACCCTCAGGGCAGGCTGAGATGGCCAAAAATAAATAAAGAAAGAAAGAAAGAAAGAAAGAAAGAAAGAAAGAAAGAAAGAAAGAAAGAAAGATGAATGATAAAACTTGCTATGGGGCTGGTCGGCTAGCTCAGGGGATTAAAGCACCTGCTTAGGCAGACACAGGGACTAGATTCGGTCCCTGGGTCGTGCTGGCTCCACCCTGCAGGCACGCTGAGGTGGCGACCGGGACTGGGAGTGGTGGCATGTGCCTATTATCCCAGCCCTTGGGAGGCCGAAAACAGGAGAATCACTACAAGTCTGATCTGTATAGTGAGTCACTGTAGACCTTGTACTAAATACATTAAAAAAAAAGAACTTGACTTTAATATTAATCATAAAAAGAGGAGAGAAAATACAAAGTTTTTAAAGTACTGAAATGTTTTAATGAAAGCTGAACATTTTTGATCTTCATTCAAAAATCAGCAATTACATTTCACTTTCATCATAGAAAAAAAGGGACAAGAGTTATGAAATTTAAAATTATGTCTCTCAGTCACATGCTTGACTGACAGAAATGATGCACCGGTCTTCCAGCTCATGTACCCTGCATCCACATGTTTAGGTCCAACACTTCCATGTAGGAAGTGCAATAAGACTCCGGGCCTGGAGCGGGAGGCTGACAGGAGCAGCACCGCAACCCAGAGACTCTCAAACTAAAGGGCGGCGTGCTGGGGAAGCAGCTGGCTCAAGGCCTGGCGCACAACCCCCAGGACTGAAGGGAAAGTTAAAAAGAATGGCCAAAAAGGTTAACATAGGAAAAGGAGTACATCTCTCTCCCCAAGCCACCTAGCAATGTGTTTGTGTGTGCATTAGGTTATTCTTCCCTGACCTATAAAGCAAGACCTCCCGGAGAGAGGGATGAAAGAGAAGAATCGTACAAAGATCCACGCTCACTGCAGAACTGACATGGGTGAAGAGCTACTCCCTGCGATTAGCTCTCAAATAGAAAAGCTGTGCATATAAAATCTGAATACAGCGAGTGCTGTCTGTCTATAGTCTGTAAGAGCAACGGCTCTGATTAAAACAACATGCACAAGTCCCAAGCACGTACCTGGACCAAAGAAAGTCTTGAATGGGTAATAACAACCTTTGGGGTCCTCAGGCAGCTCTCCTGGGGTGCTGTGCAAGTGGAGGTAGGTAGAAATCCTGCTCGCCTGAATGGCCACCAAATTACCACCGATGCCTAAAACATTAGGAAATAGATGGGAGTTAGCCTCATACTGTAAACAACTCACATAACTTCAGCCAAAGGTGAGTGTCTTTATGTTACCTTCTGGGTCAATAAAGCAAAATAGAGTGCTTCTAAAATGTCAGTGCACCCAGCATTGTGACATTCCAAAAGCACAAATTCACTCTTCACAAAGATTCGTTCATTGATTTTCAAGACTGACTAACTGTCTAATAGGAAAGCAGACCATGTAGGCAGTTAAAAAAAAAAATCATGACCACAGCCAGAGTGCTAAGCAGGGAACAAGCTGTTGGTGTTTCCGAACCTAACGAGAACAGACCCCTGGCCATTCCCAGTGGGCCTGGCTACAGAAGCCGCGGTCCCTAGAGGAAAGGGGTCTGGGGAATGCAGGACACTCTGGGCAAAGACCAGTGGCCACAGCAGGAAGAACGAGAGCAAAGGTTGTTCACTGCTAGGGGTGACATCGGCCTTCCTCTGGGCAGGACAGGAGCGCAATGAGCGCGCCAGCCCTCAAGACCAGGCACACAGACCATCCAAGGCTGAGGATGGGGCAAGGGAATCCCAAACCCCACTCTACAGGCTGTACTGAGCAGCACATGCAGAAGGAGAGCGAGAACACAGGCACGGAGGCCCTGCATGACGAGAACACACACAGAATGGGGCAGCCGCTGCCATGAGGAGGAAGTCGGGAGTCGGCGCATAGCGAGGGTAAGGCTAACTCAACTAAGGCTCAGAACAACTCGATCCTCCATACTAGTAGAAAGTAGGAGAAAAGAACTGCCCATTTGTAGCATAAATAATATTGACCAACTTCCAAAAAAAATTTTCAAGACAATAAAAAGCCAAAAAGAAAACAGTTATTGTAGGTTTGAAGAAACCAGACCCAGAGATAATTCAGTTGTTGCTATTATTTGATAAGGCCTTTACAATAATTATGGTTACTACGTTAAAGGATCAGAGGAAAAACCATATAGCACATATCAAAACATGGGAACCTAAGTATGTTAAAAATAAAAATATGAAAATACATATACCATCCAAGTGTTAATGAAGAGAAAACCGAAGTAGCAATCAGTATCAGGGAGACATTAGCAGAGAACAGTATCAAGGGGAAAAGGGGATGCTGAACACCACTTGCAAAGGTCGCCTACTCAGGGAAAAGACACAGTGGTCCTAAGACAGACACACCTACAAATGGCTCCTACATTACAGCATAAACATGTAAGAACGAAAGCAAAGCCAGACAAGGCTGTATCTGTATCCAGACTTTGCCATCCCTGAGAGGCTACACTTCCTTCTTAAAAATCAACAATTACATGAACCCTAATAATACTACCAGCTAGCCCGATCTGGGGAGCTCTCTCCTATAAATGACATTTATAGAACTTCCCACCCAAAACAGCATCACATTCACTATGAGTTTACATATGGAATGCTGATGAAGCTATAATGAAGACAGACCACGCGGAAGTCCTAAGATCAGTCTCAATTAACTTGAAATGTTTAAAATATGCAATGTATGCTTTCTGGTCACAATAGAACAAAGATAGATTTGGAGATTTCTTCAAATATTTAGACAGCAGATAGTATACTTCTAAATAACTTATAGGTCAAAGAAGAATCTATTAGAGAATATAGAAAATATAGGTCAGCTTGATGAAAATGAAAACAACACACTGAAATATGTGAGTGGAACATAAAGCAGTACTTCTACATTCAGGATATTAAATACATCAGAAAAGAAGACTCAACAGTCTAAAGTTCCCATGTTGGGAATTTAGAAAAAAGAAAAAATTACACTAAAAGCAAAAAGAAGGAAGAACCAGCATAAGAACATAAATCAATGAAAAAACCACAATAGAGAAAATAAATGAAACGAGAAGCTGATTCTTTGAATAAAGGGGGGAGAGAGAGAGAGAGAGAGAGAGAGAGAGAGAGAGAGAGAAAGAGAGAGAGAGATTCTGATTCCAATATCAAGAATGAAAGTCACCACTGCAGATGATGCTGGTATTTAAAGGGCATTATATAAGTATCATGAAAAACTTAAATACTATTAACAAATCAAATCCAGCAAAATGCTAAATGCATAATACTTCACAGCAAAATTGGCTTTTCCTAGAAAGGCAAGGCCAGTTCAGTGTTACCAGTAGAGCTGTGCTGCACAGCAGAGAACCCCAAATAGCCACTGTCAGAAAAGAACCTCCCAGGACAGCAGGTTAAAATCCCGCAGTCCAACATACAACGGAACCTTAAAGATCACTGGACACCAGGAACAGATCACTCACAAGGGACAGCCCACCACAGTTGCAGCAGTCTTCTCCATGCTAACTTTAGACGCGAACAGAGCTTGGAGTGAACTCTTTCAAGCCCTAAAAGAAAGCTAGCTACAACCTAGACTGATATATCCTTGCAAACCTGTCTCTCAAAACTGATGGAGAAATAAGATATTTCCATGACAAAGGGCACCTAAAGAATTCATTACCACCAAGCCAGTACTCTAAAAAAATTCTCAAGGATACCAAACAATGAAGCAACAATCCCCAAAGGTCTAACGGAATGAATACACCAGGTAGGGTGAGCAGTTAAGTAGAAGGGAAAGTGGGAACCAACAATAGGAAAATAAGGCAATTATAGAAATAAATCAGTATCTCAGAAGTAACTCTCAATGTGAATGGTCCCAGTTCCCCAATCAAAAGATACAGATTGGTAAAATGGATCAAGGTTAAATCTAGTGGTGTGCTATATACAAGGAACATATTTAACCCAAAAAGTAACTCACAGACTGGGCTGGAAAGACAGACGGATCACTATGAGTTCAAGCTGCGGAGTGAGACCCTGTACTAAATAAATAAATATCTTTTTAAAAACAAAAAAAAGAAATTCACAGATTAAAAATCAAAGGATGGAAAATAATATCTCATGCAATGTGAAACAGAAAACAAACAGGCATAGCTATCTTAAGAAGAAACAAAGAAGGTTACTATACATTGGTTAAGAGAACAACCAACAGAAGGAGTAACCATTATAAACATATATGCACTGAAAAATGATGCACTCAACTTTATAAAACAAGTACTACTGGACATAAAAGATCAGACAGACATCAACACAACTGTCATGAGGGCCCGCAGTACCCCACATCAGAAACAGATCAACTAGACAAAAGCCAACAAAGTAATATCAGAGTTGAACCACACACTGGAACAAACGGGCCTGACGGCGTCTACACTGTGTCTCACCCAACTACAGAGTGCACACATCTCTCAGCAGCACATGGCACTTTGTCCACAATAAGCAGCCAATAAAGCCTGCCAAGTAAGGGCCACAAAACGATGCTATACCAAGTACAGGGTCAGGTCCCAGCACACTGAAACTACAAATTAGTGACAAAAGAAACTACAGACATTACGCAAATACATGGAAATTAAACAATACACTTGTGAATAATAGAAGGAATCAAAAAAGGAATCAGTTCCAAGAATCCCATGATAATGCCAGCACAACATGCCAGAACCTGTGGGACACACGGGAAGCACTGAGAAGGAAAGCAGTGGGAACTGCTGCGTCCAAAAAAGTGAGCCCAAACAAGTAACCTAGAGATGGAATTCAAGGCCCTGGACAAACAAGAACAGTCCAAACCCAAAGTCAGTACAAGAAATCAATGGAGATCTAAAAAAAAAAAAAAAAAAAAAAATCAATGAATTAAGCTGGTGTTTCAAAAGAACAAATAAAATAGACAAACTCTTAGCCAATCTTGCCAAGAAAAGAACCAAATTAGTATACTTAGAAATAAAAAGACTTTTCCAAAATTCAGAAGATTATTAGTAACTATTTTGAGAATTTGTATGCTAAAAGAACGGAGAATTCAGAAGAAATGGATAGATTTCTAGATACTTATGAACTACCAAAACTGAACCAAAAGTCATAAAAACCATGAATAATCAGTTATCAGACGAGACTGAATTGATAAAAAACAAAACAAAAAGCCACCACCTAAGAAAAGCCCAGGTGCTGTTAGGTTCACTGCTTAATTCTGCAGAACTTTAAGGAAGATTTAATACTAAACTCTAATAAAACTGCAAAAGAAGGAGTACTCTCAAAGTCATTCCTGGAAGCCACCATTACTCAGATTCTAAAACAAGAAACCAATGAACTGTGACAGACAATTACTGGCCAATTTCTTTAATGAACATACATGAAAAAATGTCCATCCATGGATGAATGGATGTCATATAATGCTGAAATTGCTAAATTTCACAATGCCCACTTCCTCAAACACTTCTTTGTACTGAAAACATTTAAAATCCTTTGTAGTTTTTTAAATTTAGAATTAGAATTTAATAACATTTAAAGCAACATTTTCAAATATTATGCCACATATTCATATGCATAAGCATATGAAAACAGATTTGTAAATATACACTGATTCAATCTCAGAACTTGAAAAGTATTTGTCTAGCAAGAAATATTCCAAGATATACAGGACAAATAATAGCGTACTTGAAGATCTCCAGGGATGGAAATTCCACACCTGTTCTTTTTTCTTTTTTTTTTGGTGGAACCGGGGATTGAACTCAGACCCTTGCACTTGTCAGGGAAGTGCTTACTCTACTGAGCCATCTCTCCGGCCCTCCATAACTGTTCTCTGATGCTTAGAATCTCTTTTTTATAGTTTAGCTGAAGTCTTCCTGATTTATTTTCAAACCATGTCTTCTCATCTGGTCTTTAAAATTACGTAAGAGTTATCTATTGTCACCTCACTGCTCAAGAGCTCCCCTGAACTCTTACTCCGAGTGGCTCTAATAGCACGCACCTACGCACTTCCTTCCCTCCTCTCTCCGGGTTCTGGCAGCCACCACTAGCCCCTCAACCCTTGAGGTCAACTGTAGATTCCACACGGGAGTGGGGGCCGTGGCCCGTGTCTCTCTAAGCCTCCTGTTTCACTCCAGGGCAGCCCATGTGGCCATGATGACAGCCCAGACCCCTTTTGTGTC